GAGGAGTGTGCTGTCACGGTATGGGGAGAGCAATTAGTCACATAACAATGTAGGTATAAATTTTTGTATGGGAAAAATTTTTTAAAAAAGAATATGATTGGATCTCTGTCGTCTAAGATAGATCCCACATACAGGCCCAGTAGGAAAATCGTATGAAAATTTTAAAATAGTAAGTATTTGAGGAGATAATAGAGTAATTTAGAAAATGTAAATATATAAAAGTGTACTATGTAAAAATATAAATAAGGGGACTTCTTTTCATTTGGAATGCTTCATTCAAGGGCAGAATTAAATTGCCAGGTTTAGCTTGAATAAAAGCTGATAGGGGTTTGTTTCTTCTATTTATAGGTCAAGAAATGCCATTTGTAAACATTAAGAACCATGACTGTTTCTTAGGGCATAGTTGTTTATAAACTATGGAAAAGAGTGAAATCACTGAACCGCATGAGGTAGGGCAACAGTCTTTCCTGATGTTAAGAGACCAGCAGGCTCTACTCTTGTGTAGATTGGAGACCTGGCCTGCAAGAGAAATATACCCAAATCAGTGGTGTGGTTGTGTCCAGGGCTACTGAGCCTAGTCTTTGGCTGCCTCTGTGTTATTCTGAGTTGTAATTTTCCATGTCATCTAAGTTTGTAATAATTCTTTAATATGATACAATTTCAGCGAGCAAACATTCTGCTTGCTGCATTTCTTCTGAGTGAGTAATTCCCTGACAACTACCAGATCTTGGCAGCAGTAAACCTAGTCATAAGTTATGCTCCACTTTGAGTGTGGTGAAACCTATGATGCGTAACACAGTGTCCTTGAATTCAGATGCTGATTTTCCTAAAGAAAATTTGGGAAGGAAATGAAATACTCCAATTTAGGAGTAGGACTAATATATAATTATAAAACTTTAAAAATACATAAACACTAGTGATTAAGTCATGTCTTTGAAGCAAAAGATCATATACTATTTTTTCTCTTTTTGTTGTGTGGCTTGACTGTGGCTTAAGTGGCTGTGTGAATTTAAGTTATTGAATGAGTTAAGGTATGTGAAATAAAAAGTGTGGGTAGCATGCAGATGCCAGACTGGCTTCCATTAACAGCCTACCTCACTGAAAGGTTTGAGAAGCTTTTCTTTTTATTTATTTATTTTGAAAATGTTAAGAATTTTCCAAGTAACCAGGAATGTGACTTCAGCTCTTTCACTGTTCATTAACAGGGGTTTGGACAGCCACCACGTCTGTCTGCTGGCTGAGTCCAAATGCTGCGGTTACTGGCTCTCTCCAGCAAGCTCACGGAGGGTTATGTCATCCTCTCTTAGCCAGTCCAACACTTTTTCCATCTGCTAAAATATAGAACATGGCTGCTGATTTTACTTTTTCTCCAAAGAGAGAGAAGTGGGATGAGTCATTTCTTTTTAATTTAAAGATTATGTGTTAATTGGCTTTTGAAAAATCTGTTCTGCTAACCATGCAATCACTCACCAAGTTATTCAGTTTCTTGGTAGCATGGAGATAGGTACAGAGCAGATCTTTTATGCCAGTGTATTAGAAGCTTCATAGAGGTTTTCCTATTGAAATGATGTTCCAGCCAGCACTTCTTTTCATCAGGGGTGAGCCAAAATGTATTGTTTGCAACATAGTCACATCATGTACTTAACTGGGTTTAGTAACAGGATAATTACCAGGTTGTATCATCCCCCAAATAGAAGGAACTGGTGTATTATGCACCATTATTTAATCTCCTTTTTTCAGGCTGCCCTCTTTTCCTGTTATCTTTTGAAATTTTTACTAATATTATTTGCTAACGGGTTTGGGAGTTTAGAAAATGATCAGATCTTTGCCTTGTGTTTTGCACAGTTGGGACAGTAGAGCTGATGTGTTCTTAAATAAAAGGTAAAAAACCAGTTGCCATCAAGTTGATCCTGACTCATGGTGACCCCATTTGTGTCAGGGTAGAATGATACTCCATAGGGCTTTCAATCATTGATTTTTCAGAAGTAGATCACCAGGCCTTTCTTCTGAGGTGCCTCTGGGTGGACTCAAACCCCCAACCTTTCGGTTAGCAGCTGAGCGTGTTAACCAGTCAGAATCAACTTGATGTCAAGTGGTTAAATAAAAGACACTCCTGCTAAAACAATTTCTCAGTTGCATTTAGAGTGTGCTTTAAATATATATATATGGTTAAAGGTTGTACTTTTTCTTTTGTTTTATCCCTTTTGCTGTTCATGAGATTTTTAAAATAAAATGATATTTTTTTCTTCCATTATTATTTTAAAGGTCTCTGGGGAACAAGACTCATGGAGGAAAGCAACACTAACCGAGAGAAATACCTTAAAAGTGTTTTACGAGAACTGGTCACATACCTCCTTTTTCTCATAGTCTTGTGTATCTGTAAGTAGAATATTTCCTTCCATTAAAGGAAAAGTTTTTAAAATATTTGACCTGTCAAAATTATAATTACAAGGAAGTGTATACGCCCCAGAAGAGTCAGTTCAGAAGTCTTCTCAGCTCTGTTTTCAGTTCTACTTCAGTTCAGTTCTAGAATTTGGGAAAGTTCTCCTCTATATTCAGGTGGACATTAATTAAAACTCTACATTATGTGATTCGCCAGTTTCACTATATGTTGTGACCATTTTCAGTATGAGATGCACATGACAACCTTCCAGACACCAGAAAACCAAGTGAAAGGATTTTTGTATTAGATTTCTTAACTATAAATATAGTGTCACTATTATTGCATTAATTAGCATAAAGCATACAAAAGAACTGTTTTCAACAGAATGACTTTTCAAGCTTAGTCTTTGGGAAATACAAATAATGGCACCTAATACTACTTTCATTGAAGTACATATTTAAAAGTCCCTTTTTTGGATTTGGATATATTATATCAATGCCTTCATTCTACCTTATCATAATTTCTTCCAAATCCTTAGTAATAGATTTGCATTTTATGATAGATTCACCAAACAGATCTTCTATAATACTATTTATTTATGCCTTTCTTTATTGCAGCATCTGCATACCTCACACAAGAGAAATACCATTGTTATTTGTAAGAGTAACCCATATATATTAGTAAGTACTTCGAAGGTGAACTCAAGGCAACCTCTGGTTTCAAGTAAGAATAAATTCTGAATTTCAGAGAAAGTGGGATCACTCAATTCCTGTGTTATGCCTCTCCTTTCAGTCAAGTAGACTGATTTTAAAAACAGAGGGCCAAAACTAACATTGATAAAGTAGAAAGTAAGCCCTTGATGGGCACTTAGCTGCTCCAAATGAAATAATTCGGCCATTGTCAATGATCTTTAGGAAGAATTTTTCTCTTGCTGCTATTACATGACAGATACCAAATGTCTTAGTTATCTAGTGCAGCTATAACAGAACTACCACAAGTGGATGGCTTTAACAAACAAAAATTTATTCTCTCACAGTCTAGGAGGCTAGAAGTCCAAATTCAGGGTGCCAGCTCCAGGGGAAGGCTTTCTCTCTCTGTCAGCTCTGAGGGAAGGTCCTTGTCATTAATCTTCCCCAGGTCTAGGAGATTCTCAGCGCAGGAACCCTAGGTCCAAAGGATGTGCTCCCCTCCTGGTTCTTTATTCTTGGTGGCATGAGGTCTCCCTGTCTCTCTGCTTGATTCTCTCTTTTATATCTCAGAAGAGATTGACCTAAGATACAACCTGATCTTGCAGACTGAGTCCTGCCTCATTAACATATCTGCCTCTAATCCTGCCTCATTAACATCGTAGAGGTACAATTTACAACACATAGGAAAATCACATCAGATGATAAAATGGTGGACAGTCACACAGTATTGGGAATCATGGCCTAGCCAAGTTGACACACATTTTGGGCAGGGGCACAATTCAATCTGTAACATTCTATCCTTTGGCCCCCCAAAATTCACATCCTCACCACGTGTAAAACACATTCACCCCATCATATCACAGCAAAAGTCTTAAATAAACTCTAAGTCCAAAATCCAGAAATTCCTCTTCACTGTGAAATCTAGAATGCAAGTTACCTGCTTCTGTAGTACAATGGTGGAACAGGCAAAAGCTAGACATTTCCATTACAAATGAGAGAAATTGGAAGGAAAAAGGATGGATAACAGGCACCAAGCAAGTCAGCAGAATAAACCATCTTAGGATCGTTACATGTATTATTTCTGATCTTTATAACAACCTTTCAAAATAAATATTTTACAGATAAAGGAAACTAAGGCTCAGAGAGGTTAAGTAACTTGCCCAAGTTTACTCAGCTTACAGCCACTTGAACCCAGGTCTCTGTGATGTAAAATATCTGTACTTTTCCTATTATGTCAGGATGCCTTCCAGAACCCTAATTATTTCATATAAGAGCTTATAAGATGCAAGGGCAGAGGGTTAAGTATATTATCTCTTTAACCACAGAGTAATTAGTTTGTTATTCTTGGTCATTTGATGATGATATTGCTGGCAGGATTTTAAAACAAGTAATTTAAAAGATGGTTTCTGAGCAATGGGGGAAGGAATCACTAGGAGCCAGTGAGACTATGTCAGGAGTAAGTCAAGCTTGGTTATTCCTACTTCCTTTTAAATGTGGTCCACAGCTGATAGGTCAGAGGAATGCTGGAGATAGGCATTTGAAAAAGTCCCTCCTATGTTTCAGGAACCACTTGAGCTGAATGATCATATACTTAAGTGAACTCCACCCAGTGTGCTTTAATTAATGGACTGATGTTCTTGGATCAATCTTGTGTGATTTATTAATTCACTAAGATAAAGACATTGATAATATCAACTTTACTGATAATGTGAAGCTCAGAGCAGTAGCTGATATGAAGATGACTGAATCTAGATCCAAGATAATTTCAACAGATTAGAATGATGAGCAGATCCTAGTGAGGTGAAATTTAACAGGTTGAATGAAAGTCCTCCACTATGATCGAGGAAAAAGTACTCGAGTACTAGCTGAGGGACACAGCGCTTTATAGTCTTCAAAGAGATGAAAGAGTCATTTCTATTGTGAGGCAACCCCAAGAGTCGGGCAGTCTTAGGATGCATGAACTGCAGTGTAGAATCTGGAATGAAAAAGCTCATGGCCCACTTTGCTTCTCCTCAGTGGTGAGACTGCTGTGCTTTTAAAGGGATTGAGATCAACAGAATATGTGCCAGTAGAAGTTTTATCATGTGGGAAAGACTCAAAGATCATGTCTCCAGTAACATGGTCAGCAATTTATGGAGCTGGAGAGAGTTAACCTGGAGAAGACAGAACTTCAGTGTCTGTCTCTGAATTTCTAAAGGGCTGAATTAGAAAACAAACATGGAAAAAGTACTTGAGCATACTGTAGTTTTTTTTTTCTTAAGTTCTTGGAGGCCACTGATTTCTAGGCTGACTTAGAGACTAACCTTATACTTTACAAAAAGAAAACTGCGTGTGTGATACTTGAATAAACTTCATATTAATTCTAATCAACCTGTTAATATTTTAGGTTACTGCAGCTTAATATTTAAGCACCATTTCTATGCAGGAAGAAAACTTAGAACAGCTTAGAACATATTAGTTTAAAAGTATCACATCTCTTATTTTGCAACATTTAATATTAATGAATAGATCATTGCTAGCTTTTCAGCATTTCTTAGAAACATGTTTTAAAAGGTAATGTCACTTTTAAAAGCAGGAGACATTCCTTTCTAAATAAGTAGCAGAAACTTTCAGAAAATTAGTAAGGAGAAGAAACTGAGAAGATGGATGTTATTCATCCAC